TGACATGCTACCTTTGTCATAGAATAGTCACTTTTTCACTTTAGGAAGGCCTCCTTTCCCATCTCTAAGAAAGTATATTTCCTCTCTATAAAGTTTCCAGCAAGTCAGACATTTAAAATTTCTTTCAATGACACTGTTTGTGTTTAGGGGTTTGTGTGTGTTTTCCAGGGCTTCATTATCCTTTCAAGTCTTGAGCCTTACCAGAAGGAAATCCTAGAATCTTTCAGTAGTGTCACAACCCCACGTTGCCTGGTTCTAAAGAAGCCAGACTGGCTCACCCTCCAGGTGACATCCCACTGCCTGAAAAACCAGGGTTTCAGCAGAGGTGTCACTCAGTGCCTTGGCCGCTGCTGTTTCTCCCAGGACCCAGAGCAGTGAGGATGGCACTGCCTCCCTGAGGAGCCACCTGTCAGCATGGGAGGGCTATGGGGAATGAAGTATGTGTGAAAGTTTCCCTGGTGATTGATTCTGTGAGAAGGTCCAATCCATTTGTTTTGAGGGGGGCTTTCCTGTGATGGGGGCTGTGAATGTGGATGAACACAGTATGTTTACTGAATTGTGTATGATTCCTTTTTTAAAACCATATTTGTCTTTCAGCTTGTGCTAGAGTAGAACCCCAGGTGACACAGTTCCCATCTTTTCAGACTTGGTGAGGATGTGAGGGTTTCCACCTTACACAACCCAGCCCTCCTGATGCTGTCCACCTTGTTTACAGCAGGAGCTTCTTTCTGGGGTCTTACTTGTCTCTAATGTTGTAATTTTCAATCCTGATGTTAGGCTGCCAGGGCTATGGCAAAAACAAAAATAAAGATGATGAGACCAATTCAGGTGTCACCATAATGATGCCATATCTTCTACTAATTCCTGTATTTAGGCAGGAAATGTGTTAGAAAACAAGGAAAATTAGATAATCAATTTGTAATCTTTATCGATCCCTACAGAGGAAATGAAGGGAAGCCAATTTAGAGGGAAACAACAAAAAGAAAACAACTTTGAAAGACAATGTGAGAATGACAGATGGTATAAAACAGTACAGGATTCCTGGAACTGTGCTCTCAGGTTATATTTGGAGGGGTCCCTCTGTCAGAGAGTCAGCAACCTGGAGTAAGTAGGGACGTATTTTTGAAGTCCCTAGTATCTAGGCTGCCCACAGTGCAGGTCACCTTGTACGCATGTGTGTGTGTCTGTGTGTGTGTCTGCAAGTGTGTGCAGAGATATATGTGTACATGCACTCACAACCAGCTTGTCCTGTTAGGGACTCCTGCCAGTTTCCTTTCCCTCTTGCTCCCCACAGCCCATTCTAGAACCTGGAGAAGAATCATCTCAAGGGGCAAATACAGCTCTGTCATCCCCCTTTGCTAAAAAATCCCCTGTGGTTTTTTTTGTGGCTCCATCTCCAGCCCCTGCTATACTTACACTCAGAGATCTGGTCCCAGCAGCCCTCTGACATTCCTTCCTGACCTCTGTGCCTTTCGTGAGTTGTGTCTGGGCCTCTGTCCACGTCCATTAACCTTCCACTGGTAGGCAGGAAAGTCAGAACTTGAGTTCTCTGAAAGTTTCTCTTCCCCTGGACAGAGAGAAGGGTGCTGTTCTGGCACTAACACGACATCACCAAATGAGCCCTAACAGTGCTCCTGAGCATGGAGGAAGCATCTACAGACAGCCCTGACTTACAGTGGTTCAACTTAAAATTTTTCAACTTTACAGTGGTGCAGAAGCAATACACATTCCATAGAAATGGTTTTCCTGGTTTTGAATTTTGATCTTTTCCATGCTAGTGACATGCAGTGCTGTCCTCTTTTGTGATGCTGGACGATAGCACCGAGCTGCAGGGGCATGAGGGGAAAGCACCTGTACTGTACAGTGGGCTGTGTTGCCAGCTTTTTTTTGGATATTGTTTTGTGTTTCAGTCTCTTGTCATGTCTACAAAATGCCTATTTGTCTGCGATAATAAACACTTTCATATAAAAAGGGCTTGGGCTAGATGACTTGCTCTACAATGGGTGATGTAAGTGTTCTGAGTGTGCTGAAGCTATGATTAGGTTAGGTGTGTTAAATGTTTTTTTGACTTAAGATATTTTTGACTTGTGATGGGTTTAAGTAACCCCAACTTCCTCATAAGTTGAGGAAGATCTGTGCAGATATACTCAAAGTGAAACCATTAGCCCCATCTTTCCTGCTATACGGCTTCTCCATTGAGTCTGTTGGCTGTGTGACCTTGGGGCATTTACTTCTCTGTGCCCGCTTCCCCACTGTAAGACAGGTGGATAGCAAAGGTCATTGTGAGGCACCTCAACTCAGACTGGGTAGTTATTCTGATTGCTGTCAGTCTCGGGCATAGGCTCTTTGCTCTTTCATGAGTCAACTTGTGAACCTCTGAGCACTGCCCCTGCACTTGACTTCAGTCCTTAATGAGGGTGAGTACTTACCTGGCCTGCTGCTCTCCTTTCTGTGTTATGTTCTTGGTTTATCAGCCTGTACGGGACACTCAGGCTCCATGGGCCTCATCTCTTTCTCAGAACCAGAATCTCTGCAATGTGCTGGTTGTGTGTGTTGTCACCTTGTGCTATGGTGGATTGCCTGCTAGGGTCTGTTGGCCACTCCCCCACCCCGTCTCCTAGACAGGTAGATGGCCAAGCCAAGGCTGAGAAAGCAAATTGCCCCCACTCATGACTCTAATTAAGTGCCAAATCCGGGGATCTTGCTACTCCTAAGCCATACCCTTTTCATCCCATATGCCTCTCCATATTAGAAGTCATTTCAGGTAGACACCCTTTAGGCAATACCCAAACCTCTGGGGTAACCTTTGGATTCCCCAAGGCCATAGCCATACTCCCAAGAGAGAGTAGATGTAGCAATGAGAGGCAGATGTAGCAATGTCACTGGTCCTATTACCTGCAGTTTCCTCTCTGCAGAATGAAACAGCAGGGAGATAAATAAGGTAACAGGTAACATGAGAAAGAGACACTCACAACTTTTCCCTCTAGGAAAAGGAGTTCTGCCAACTCCTGGGGTTTTACTGGTAATTATAGCTTATTTGCAATGAAACAACATTGCTGAGAAAAAGATTTTTGAGGCGAATGAGGAACCTGGTGAAGAAGCTCTGCTCAGGAGACAGGCAGGACCGCCTCACCTGTCTCTCTGCATTGACAGCACATCCCGTGCAGCTGTGGTTCCTCACCCTGCAAGTCCTCGCTGGTGGCTATCTTCCTAGTGTACCCTGAAGAAGCTGCATCCTTGAAATGCTGTCATAAAGGGGTCATGTATGATTGGCAGACTTTACTAGAGCCCCTTGGAGAGCCAGTATGATTATTCATGTTGCAAAGGCTCTGAGAAGTCCTCCAGTAAAAAAATCACCATGATTATTCACATTATAATGACTCTTAGAAAACCTGAGCAAAATTAAACTTCTTTACCTTCCTAACACAGTATTTTCCAATGTTATTTTGTTGCTTTTCATATTAACATTGTAATTTAGAAATTGGTGATTTAGCTGGTTACTATAATTTGGTTCCTAACCCCTTTTAATTATGTTTCCTCTCAGGCCATTTTTCCTTTATGACTTGAATCAGGAACTGAGATTTTTTTCTCTTCCATTCTGGTGTACACCTGTCTGTCTTATCAGCTAAATCAGTAAAAAAAATGGTGTAAGAATAATATAATGAACTCCTGAATACATTTATCTCCTTTCTTTCTCCCTTCCTCCCTCCTTCTCCCTCTCCCACTTAGCCATTTGGGAATAAGTTGTGACATGATACCCTTTAACCCTAATTATTTTAGCTTAAAATTTCTAACAAGGACTTTTCTTACATAACCACAGCACTGTTATAAAAGTTAGGAAATTAAGATGAATGCATTTCCATCATCTAATATATACATTTATTCAGTTTTTACCAATGGTCTTAATTCCATCCTTTATTCAAAAGAAAAAATCTTTAATCCTATGTAGTCTCTATGCCAGCATGTTTCTGTAGTCTTCCTGTCTCTCAACAACACTTATTTTCAGTAGAGGCCAGGCACTGTGGAGTGTGCCTTGTTTGGGCAAGTCTTTTTACTCGTGCTTCAGTTGAGGTTATGAGCTTTTTTTTTTTTTTAAGATTTATTTATTTATGCATACAAGAACTGGGGTACAGGCCAGAAGTGCAGGGGATGAGAGGATTCACCAGAGACAGAGTGGGAACATAATGGGCAGACTGAAATACACTGCTGAGGGGAGCAGCGGGCGAGTCAGGAGAGGTCTGCTGTGCCATGTGGGTAACTCCCTGGATGGCCAGGGATCTAACTAGTGCTGCATAGGCTGCGGACAGCTTTACAGTGAAATGGTAACCTCTTTCACCACCAGGAAGGCCCCTCAGGTTATGGGTTTTTGACAGTAGCATCCAGAAGTGATGTTGAGAGGTCACATCTTCTCTGGAAGTATTGAATACCTGGTAAAGGAGGTCTATAACAGGTTTCTCTATTATAGTGTTACTATTTTTCCCATAGTAATTAAATATTAGGCAGAAAGTTCTAAGATGATGAAAATGTTGTTTCTCATCCAACTTTCATCTGCTGATCTATTGGCATCCTTTGAAGATCTTACAAATGGGAATCTGTGGTGATTGCCAAATGGTGATTTTCTAATTCATCTTTCTTTTCTCTATTAATTTAGCTGGAATTCTACCCTAAGAGCATCTTCTCTTCCTTATTATCTCATTTTTCTTCCATAACACCAATATAGATTTAAAGCATTCCCATTTTGGCTGAACTGCCTTCAGGGTCATCATTCTTTGAATCAGCCAAATCCCTACAGAGGCTTAACTGTTCTCAGTGGAAATGATGTTCACTAACCATAGTCTGGGTACAAGGGGAAGCTGCCACCACAGGTCACACTGAATCATCTGTCTTTAATCCTGTCTTAGCAGACGGAGCAGGGGTGTGTGTGTATGTGTGTGCAAATATACATATATTAAATCTGGATTTTAAAACTAATAATCAGTTGATTATTTTTCATTCTTCAGACTTTTTCTCCTCCGTGATAGTCAGAGTAATCCAAAGGCATTTGTCCTCACACTCTGTCATCATCAGAAGATTAAAAACTTCCAGATTTTACCTGTAAGTATTGACAGACTCATATGTTTGTTTTTTCTTGTTTCAGTCATTAATACAATTTTCAGGTTACAAATTAGCAAGGCTGACAGTTCCAAGTTCACAGGTGAGATACCTTGAGCCTTTATTTTTTTATTTTTTTTAAGATTTATTTACTTATTTGTTTGTTTGTTTGTTTGTGCAAGCACTGGATATAGTCAGAAGCCGGGAGGGTGAGAGAATTCACCAGAGTCAGAGCAGGGAGCAGAACAGGCAGAAGGACCGAAGTACACTGCTGAGGGGAGCAGCGGGCGGCAGGAGAGGTCTGCGCGCCATGTGGGACTCTCCTCTGGTTGCCGGGGAGCAGCCAGGCTTTGAACCGGCGCTGCAGCAGCTGCGGGCAGCTTTGCAACCCAACGCTCAACCTTGAGGCCCCCTTGAGCCTTTATTGAGGGGATTGTTCTTTTAAAACTGAGAACAATGTTTCCCTAGAAATAATATTGAAAATGGTAGTATTTTGTTGAGCCCTACCCACTCACCTGTCTGACTCATAGTTGCAAGTGACATGGCACCTGATGGGAAAAAACAAGGTTCAATAAAGGGTCAATACTGCGGGCTGTGAGCCCAGGAGCTGGTGGCCAGGAGTGCAGGTAGTACACGAAGGCAGGTATACAGAGTCCACTGTTGCAACTTTATTCCTGGCTGTTATGAAGAGGCTTTTTTTTTTTTTTAAAGATTTATTTATTTTTATACAAGAACCGGGGTACAGGCCAGATGCAGGGAGGGTGAGAGGATTTACCAGAGACAGAGCAGGGAACAGAACAGGCAGACTGATGAAATACACTGCTGAGGGAAGCAGCAGGCGAGACAGGAGAGGTCTGCTTCACCATGTGGGCACCACCGCAGCCGGTAGGGATTGAACCTGCACTGCAGAGGCTGTGGACAGCTCACAGTGTGGCGCTAAACTGCTTGCGCCACCAGGGAGGCCCTAAAAAGGCATTTTTACAAAGTACTATTGTATTATCAAATGTAATTAACTCTCTCTTTAATGTACTGTAGCTCACATCCTAGTTCATGATTTGGGTATAGTGTGGGAGATGGTTGTCTGTCCCTCCAAGATTTTACAGTTTTGTTGGGAATAAGATACACAAAATTAATATCAAATGTTTTTTTTTTTTTTATTTTATAGAGGCATGTTTTATTTATTTATTTGTTTGTTTGTTTGTTTATACATGCACTGGGTACAGTCAGAAGTCCGGGAGGGTGAGAGAATTCACCAGGCCAGAGCGGGGAGCAGAGCAGGCAGAAGGACCGAAGTACACTGCTGAGGGGAGCAGCGGGCGGCAGGAGAGGTCTGCGCGCCATGTGGGACCCTCCTCCAGTGGCCGGGGAGCAGCCGGGGATCGAACCGGCGCCGCAGAGGCCGCGGGCAGCTTCGCAGCCCAGCGCTCAACCACTGCGCCACCGGGGAGGCCCCAGTATCAAATGTTTTATATTCCTTTAACCTCCAATTCCATAGATTAGTAATAACTTTCATGAACTATTTCCTGACAAACCTTAACCCAGGAAGTATTGCCAGATATTTTCCTCACTGAGATTCATTCTGTCCATTTACAAAATGAAGCTCTGTGTGTTTTGATGTAACCTGATGTCATCTGTTTCATGTGATTGAACCTTTTTTGAGTGCACAAGAGTCCATCTCAGGAATGGTGCAGCAACAACAGATGGAGATGGTGGAGGGCAGTCTTGCTCAATTGGGGTGAAGCAGGCTGCTAAGCACTGTGTGTTAGGCAGCAGCTTCCTGCTGTGTCCCATGGCCCTCACCAACAGCTCTAAGGGCTTACTGTGGACTGCACCAGACAACATAGCCTGATTTGAAGTCAGGATTCCCAGAGTCCATAAAACATTGTATGTAAACTAGAAATTGTTATTCAAGGAAAAGTCCTTCATTCACAACCCTTTTTGTTTTCTGCATTGCCTATTGACACCACTGTTACCATTCTCTTACCCTAATGAAAAAGCATTTTATGGTAGGTAGAGTATGTAATCCCATTCTCCCCAAATCATCCCCAGTCCTAGGAGTACCCTAGAGACTATAACTTGAGACTTAAAAAAAAATTGCAGCCACAGTGCCTGAAAACTGGCCATGGTAGGTGCCGTAGCTCCAAAAGTTTTTAGAATTAAGAAGAAATTTTACGTTTATTAGTTAAAAACGGTTTAAAACTACTTTCTCTGGTAACAGCACAATATGAGTTTCCTGTTCTAATCTGTATTGCAGTCATTGAACTTAAAATTCATTGAGTTAAAATAGCTGATAGGAATACATTTCTTTCTGGAGATGATGTGGAATATTTTCATTTTAATACAGATAGGTACCAATTATTCCAGAACCTGGGATAATTGCTTTACCTACATTATCTAATACTTTAAGTAATCCAATCCAGCATTTGATTCATAATGGAGCAGAGTGCACTTTGGGACCTGAAGAGGAGGTTGCCCACGATCCTACAACCAGTACTCAGGGCGGTATCCCCTTCTAATTTTTTTTTTAAAGATTTATTAATTTATTTATTTATACAAGCACAGGGTACAGTCAGAAGTACAGGAGTGTGAGAGAATTCACCAGAGCCAGAGCGGGGAACATAACAGGCACACTGATGAAATACACTGCTGGGGTGAGCAGCAGGCGCGGCAGGAGAGGTCTGTCGCGGCATGTGGGATCCTCTCCCAGCAGCCGGGGATAGAACTGGCGCTGCAGAGGCTGCGGGGCAGCTTCTTAGCCCAGCACTCAACCGCTGCGCCACTGGGGAGGCCCTGTATACTCTTTCTTGGGGTGTGCTGTGTGCATAGATACTCATAGTGCCTCTGGTCACCCTCAGCCTCACCAACTGGGTGAGCTATGAGGTGAGCTCTTTCCCAAAGCACCTTAGCAGTAAGGGGACCAGCTATGCCAGGCAGACCACAGTAATTTGGCAGTGCCCAGCACAAACACACCATTCCCCATCTTTTACCTTGCCCCAGCCCCATGTCTTCTGTCTCACACTGCTGACTTTCCATGTCTCCCTTAGGAACCAATTCATTGTTAGCAGGCAGAACTAATATTGACCATGCACCCTGTTTTACCCCCTGAGATATGACCTCTAACTTGGCAAATGTTCTTGTGTCTCTCTAGTGTGAGGATGATGGGCAGATATTCTTCAGCCTTGATGACGGGAACACCAAATTCTCTGACCTGATACAGCTTGTTGACTTTTACCAGCTAAACAAAGGAATCCTGCCTTGCAAACTCAAGCACCACTGCATCCGAGTGGCCTTATGATCTCAAATTTACTCTTGACTAAAGACTAGAGGAAGTTGACACTGGAATGAAGTAGAGGTCTGTGCATTGGTTAAGAACATACATCTTCTCTGCACTTTGGGATTTGGAGGAGCAAGATGGGTTCAGTTGGTGCCAATCATTCAAGATTGACTAGTTTGTTGGACTTGACGATTTGCTACTGCAGCTCCAGGAGGATCGCTCCTTCCGCACTAGCCGAATCAGAGAGGGCATGACAGAGCAAGTGCAAATTTGAGAATAAACTGGAATGACCGTCTTGACTGGGCCACATAGGAACAAGAACAGGAGAGAAAGCATTGGAAATGAACTCTTGCCCTGGAATAATCTTGACAATTAAAACTGATATGTTTACTTTTTTGTATTGATTACTTTTTTGCACTCCTTTTTTTTTCAAAATTGTATTCAGCCTACATTTGGGGGTGGGGGTGTGGCTTTTCAGTGCATAGAAAACATAAAGACAGTTGGATTGGGCAGCTTCAGGGTCCCCATGTATTTCCAGATTATGGTCTCCACTTTCTGAAGGTTACCAGAGGTGGATTCAGTTCCCAAATAACAAAGCACCCCCAGTCCTTCCCAGTATACTTGAAGAGTTTCTTTTAAAATAAAAGGTGTCACCTGTGGTAGGCATTTGGCATGTCTTGTGGACTCATCGGGCTACCACAGTCTGTCGATCACTTTTCTATGCACAAATGTCCTGTACTCTTGGTGTTAGTATATCTAGTCTTCCACAGTTCAGGAGACTTGATTTCTTTGGAAAACTCATTGTCCTGTAACATGGCAGGGCTGAGTTACCTCACTCCAACTTAATGCAGGCCAGCCTTCTTGAGACACACCTGGTGCCTGCTTTCTGCCAACAGTTATGCCACATTGCCCACCTGGGGGTACTTTTAGCCTAGTTCTGGAATGATCACTGCCTTACCCCCTGCAGTAGTGTGAGTCCATTCGTGGCTGTTTTCCCTCAGGGGACTAAAAAATCTAAAAAGAAAATGGTACCTGGTTGGTTGGCTTCTTTTCATGTCCCCCACGTTTCTATGGTGATAAAGATAGAAGTATTGAAAAGGGCACATCTGTAGCCCTGTATTAAAAGGTCTTTGCTTGATGATCTCTGTCCTGCTGAAAACCTCCATTAGCCAGTGGATGAGACAGCTAGAGGCTCCTCCTCTGTTGGCTTATGATCATAAGTACCTCACAGCAGTGTGGACATTGAAAAGTTTTATCAACACATCACTGCTTCCCACTCCAGGAATTAAGTCAGATGGGAACTTGAGTTGTTGCCCCAATCCCTTCCTGTCCCTTATCTGAGTTATCAGGTGTGAGAGGGGCCTTGTCTTTACCTATGATCTCTGCAAAGCAGAAAGGACTCCCTTGACAAACAGCAGACTGCTGTGGTAAGAAATTATTTCCTTTCCTGAGATCACAGTTGTCACATTTGGCCCTCACAGAGGTGTGTTAACCACTGGATTGTCTAAATTCCCATGGACTGTAGTGCTCCCCAAGGAACATACACGTAGTTTAGGACAGTCATAACAGGCTTCAGTCACGTATCTGCTGTAAGTCTATGGTATAGCAACACTGTATTTTAGTTTACAGACCACACTAGCTTTCCATGAAATGTCTACTTTTACAAATGAAGAATTTTTTATAAAATGTGTTTTTAACCATAAATGCTCATTCATTCTTCCTCTCATAGCTAGTTAATCTTTGAAACCATTGACCATTAGGTCATTCTCAAGTTCAAGCCTGGCAATGTGCTTCACTGAACTTCACTTTAGGGACTGACACTTTAGTAGACACAGCTATACCTTTTTTCTCTTCACTGGTTGGAAGCAAAACCTTGAACAAAACAAAACAAAACAAAAAAAAAAACCTGAATTTTTTTTTTTCTGTTTACACAGACCAGTCTCCAAAAGTGAGATGAGACTCTTGTGTCCTCTCTGACAGCTAGTATTGCAGTATTTCATATTTATAAATATGCTTTTTTATTTAAAAAGAGAAAAGCTTTACTCTGACTCACAGTTTTTTTATGTAGCTGGTTCAATATAGTCTTTTGTACCTTCCAGCTGAAGTGAATTGTTGGAGCTTATAAACTTCCCACAGCCCCCACAGCCACGCTTATGCAGGGCTGCGGGGCATTCTACCCCAAAACAGCCGGTCCCTCCCGGGTGCAGGCATCAGCCCAGCCAACCAGGGGCTGAAGGACATTGGGCTTTTATTTTTGTATTTAAATGACATGAATGTAAATGGGACAGCTCAGGGTCGTTTTGGAGCCTGTTGACTTTTTATTTCTGCCTGTGATTTTCTTTTCTAAGTAAAACCTCCACATAGCAGTCTGGTTAAGTTGAGAAGGAAAATGCCAAAATCTTTGGGTATTAGAGTTTAATAGGTGAGCTCTGTTACCTTAGGTGTTAGAATTCCAGAACTTTTTTTTCCATTTGCTAAATCTTGAACAAATATGTGCCTCAGTCCAGATGTTTTTGTCTTCTCTTTTCTGCACTTAACACCCGGCAGTTTGAGCAGGCAGCGCTCAACCAGGGGCGAGGCTGATAATGTCAGTGCAGCTGCAGTGCCCATGTAAACGTTTGCAGGGAATGCAGGGGAGTGTTAATGTCAGAGACAAAAACCTTTATTCCATGTGCTTTGCTTTATTGTGTACATACCTCTTTGACTCTTGTACTTAATTGTAAACTTCCAAGTATTTTTGTACAAATAAGGGAATGATGTTCTGTTTCTTGTAATTAGAAATAAACATGAATACAGTGTTCTTCATTTTCTAGTGCTTATACTGTCTGTTTATATATTTTAAAATACTCTGGTAAAAACCATTAAAAACCTTTGGAAGTGATTTGGAATATTAGCAATGTGCTTCTTTCCACTGGTTATAAACTAAAAAGGAGCTGCTGTGTGATGCCTGAACTTGCTGGCTCCGCCGTTTCTCATTCCAGTGGCTTATGCTGGACAGCCGACTGTGTCGTTGGGACTGGGGCAGCCTCAGCCATCCTCTTCTCCCTGCACCTCCAGCACCAGAATCACAAGCCTCAGTGTTTCAAATGGTCAGATCATCATTCAGGGTAACATCTCAAGAAAGTTATAAAAGTTCTCATTTGGAAATCCAGTGCATTTTTTTCCATTGCGATGGTACAATTAAAGTGACAATGAGGAGAGTGTTATAGTCAAACGAAATTGGAAGGAAACTTAAGAAAATAGATGTCCTGTGTCTGTTTCCCAGAACTACACCTGGGGACCCTGATGTACCATTTACCTACTTGGGCCTGCCTCACCTCCAGCTCCATCCCGGGCAGAGAGTATGAGTATATTGTCACAAGTCAGCTTTGCAGACCAACAGAAGTACACCTCTGGTATTTTGTTTCCTGTCACTTATTTTTAGATTCTGAAACCTTGGTTTCTGGTAGTTCATTTCTCTGAGGCAGGCCACCCTTCAATGAAGAACAGTAATAAGAATTGACAATGGTCTCATCCTCACGGATGGTATTCGTGTACAGTGTTCATGGTGGTGCTGGAGTGTGGTCAGGGCTGTGAGTGCCCATGTCATAGCTGAGGAGAATCAGCTGTATGGAAAGGGGGCGGGGGGATGTAGGGGAAATGGCCACAGGCTGCTCTGGGGCATTGACAGGAGCAAAAGGAGACTGGAGCATGTGAGGGTTTTGGTGGCATGTATACCGTAACAAGGCAGGACCTACTGCTTCCATCATTCTAGAGCCCGGGGTAGGGAATGAACGAAGGGATCAGGGTCTAAAATGTACTTGGATTCCAACAACCCTCCTCCCCCAAGAAGATGACACAGTCACATAGACAAGCTTGGCACTAAAAGAAAGCACAGTGCAACTTTAAATTTGACCTCGCTGCCTAGATCACATTTTTAATTTGTTTTAAAGCATATTACACGTGATTCGTTTAAATCGCAAGGCTACATTTTCATTATGATGATTACACTAGCTTGTTAAATGTAAAAAGTAAAATATGTTACAACTTTGGTTTTAGAATTAAGAGCAAACTCATATAGGCCTCCCTGGTGGCACAGCAGGTTGAGTGCAGTGCTGTGAAGCTGTCCACAGCCTCTGCAGCGCCAGTTGGATTCCCAGCCGGCCAGGGAGACACCCACATGGCACAGCAGACCTCTCCTGTCTCGCCGCTGCTCCCCTCAGCAGTGTATCTCAGTAGATCTGCCTGTTTGTTTCCCACTCTGTCTCTGGTGAATCCTCTCACCCTCCTGCGCCTCTGGCCTGTACCCCAGTCCTTGTATAAAAATAAGTCTTTTTTAAAAAATGAGCAGGGCCTCCCCTGGTGGCGCAGTGGTTGAACGCTGGGCTGTGAAGCTGCCTGCAGCCTCTGCAGCGCCAGTTCGATCCCCGGCTGTCAGCTAGGGTCCCACATGGCGCTCAGACCTCTCCTGCCGCGCCCACTGTTCCCCTCAGCAGTGTACTTTGTCAGTCTGCCTGTACTGTTCCCCGCTCTGGCTCTGGTGAATTCTCCCACTCTCCCACGCTTCTGACTGTACCCAGTGCTTGCATAAATAAATAAATAAGTAAGTAAGTAAGTAAGTAAGTAAATAAATAAATAAATAAATCTTAAAAAAAATAAAAAATGAGCAAAGGATTTAAAAAAAAAAGTAAACTAATAGCACCTTCTCAGTTACACGTTAATAAAAATGGAAGGAAACATTAAAATCCATCTTTGGCAAAGTTAGGCTCCATTAGTCATCTCCATTAGTCATAGTACATGTGATAGACAATTTTTCACTGAGGCGGGAAGACCAAGCCTGGGCAAGAAAATGCTGACAGAAGACAACTGTCACTGTAGATCTCAGCAAGTCCAGCAGAGGGCACTCCAAGACACACAGCACTCCCAAAAGGGGGGAGGGAGGGGAGCAGGGGGAGTCAATGATCCTTATAGGGAACAGTGAGAATTGTCACAGGGTTGATGAGGGATTGGTGTCATTCATTTTCCCCTCAGATTTGCTGTGCACTTTCCCTCTGTAGATATAGAAAAGTCTTATCTGATGTCTGTAAATATTTCTTAAATTCTAAATATATTTTTCCATGATTGCAGGTCTGTTTTTTTAAAGACAGAAATTCTGTGTGTGTTTGATCCCTTTGATACGTGTTTCATAACCTTTACTTTGTGCCCTTCCAACTCTCATTTCCACTGGACTCTACGTCACCATTCAACCCTGTCCTCCAGGTCACTGAAGGTGTTTCAGTAGGATTAGTTCTCTGTGCTACATCCAATATGGACTTCAGTCCTAGAAAATTTTCATTTTTCTCTTCCTTTTATCTTCACATCCATGTGGTTTTCCTTGCATATATTGCACATAAGGAGCTCTTGCATTTCTT